AAGAAAAGCCAAGTAGTTCGGGAATAATCATCTATAAATGAAACAAACCAACGAGCTCCACGAATATTTGAGATTTTAGATGCTCCCTAAATATTAGTATGTACTAAAGAGAAAGGCTCAGATGATCTTGAATTACTTAAAGGGTAGGAAACACTATGGTGCTTGGCCATTTGCCCAGCTTCATAATGAAATTCATTGACATTTATTTTCTGAAACAACAAAGGAAACTGTCTTTAATTTTAAAAAGGATGGATGACCCATTTGAACATGATGAAGCCAAATATGAGCTTTTCTTGCAGATTGATTTTTAGATAGGTAAGACTGAGGAATATAACTGTTTTTATTGCCACCATTACTGAGTGTCTAGATACTAAAGCCTTCCTGTTCCTTAGCACACCCAATCATCTTCTCCATTGTGCGATCCTGAAATATACAATGAGTAGGAAAAAATGTCACGGAACAATTAAGGTCAGATATGAGTTTTTGAATAGACAATTTTTGTATGTGAAGGACAGGTTTTAAAGGCAGTGAAGGTATGGGTTTTATAATCCATTTTTTTTTTAAAAAAAAAGAAAGAAATAGGGATCTTTGTTGATCATAAACAAAAGAACTGGGAGAAAAGAGGAAGAGTTTTTATCAAGCAAAACCTTGTTCCAAGATTTCAAAGGAAAATCAAAAATTGAAAAAACCAAAAGCCGAACCAGAAAACACAAAGGAGGAAGGCTACAAAAAAGGGTCCAACTGACAAAATATGAGAAAACCGGCTTGTCAAATTCTTTATCCCTGTAAACCCACAATGAAATCCAATACTTACTTTTATCCCATAGGACTAGAACATCTTCCTCGCGGTCTTCAATAGACATACCAAATTGTAATGCCCCTCCCAAGCTGGCAGCTAAATACTTTGCCAACTCAGAAGAAAACATAATTAACTTAAAATAAAATAATATTGCATAATGGAAAAATAATGTATACTATAGAAACAATCCTCGAATAAAATTCTTAAGATTATAAATTACAATTATTAATATTTCTAAACGCGTCATGGGACTTTGAACCACTCTTGCTCAATCAATTGTAACTTCTATTTCAAACTTAGCTTACTTGCATCACAAGGACTATACAAGCGACAACTCAGTAAGTAAACCATAAATTAATTTCCACTTTCAAAATACTTTTAACTGTTGTAACAGTATTCTTGTGTTATCAGAACCTTTTTCATGTGGCCCCTATCTTGGATTCTCTTATTTCTCTCGGCCATCATCATATCTCAATTGATTCATAATAAACATAAGATTTCACATCATACTCAAGAAACACTTTCAAAATTTCATAACAAGCAAGACAACATTAACATATATGTAAATTGAAAGATCTCTTTTAAAACATACTAGTGTTCAAGTGATGCAGTGGAAGATCTACTTACCTCAACTGCTTAACAAGATAAATAGGACTTTCTCTATTTTTCATATTTTCCTCTCTCTCTCTCTCTCTCTCTCTCTCTCTCTCTCTCTCTCTCTCTCTCTCTCTCTCTCTCTCTCTCTCCTTTTCTTTTCTTTTCCTCATTAATCTAACGTTTGGCTATACTGAGGTAATTGTTTGGATTCCTCGTATGACAAGGCTTAAGACTATCATGCTATGCTATGGGTGTTGGTTGATCAAATCTACTCTCTGTTGGCTTTCATAACTGAGGAGAAAATGGGCAATGTACAATAAATGATCAATTGTAGTGATGGTAGTGTTGGTTTGTGGGATTTTGGATTTCCAAGGTACTTAACGAATAGAGAAGTGAGTGAGTTTTCGGAATTAACCGCTATATTGGCGAGAATTAGGGCAGGAAATTTTGAACACAAAGAATTGTCCTCGCACCGGATATCCTCCCAAAATCTGATGATTTCACCTAAGTCTACCTTCCATCTACCTGTCGGAAGAAAACCTTTGCAGCCGTCTGAATTGATTTCCAAGGGCATCTAAATGTGACTCTCGAAGCAGCCGCCGAATCCCATTTATTTTCAGCCAGCCCATATTTCCCTTCGATGACCTTATACCAAAGAGAATCAGACTCTAAAGGAAACCTCCACAACCACGTTGCCAACAAAGCTTCATTTCTCTTCTTGATGTTGCCGATGCCCAAGCCCCTAAATTCTTCGCTTTGCGCACTTGCTCCCAAGCCACCAAATAGGAAGCATTATCATTGAAGTATCCCTCCCAGAAAAAGTCTCGCATGAGTTTCTCAATTTCCCCTGCTACACCGACTAGAATCCTAAAGATCGACATGTTATAAATTGGCAGAGAAGCTAGGATCGACTGTATGAGAACTAGGCGACCACCTTTCAATAAAAAGCCTTTCTCCACCCATCCAATCTCTTCGCCACTCTGCCTGTCAACGGATCCTAAAAAGTTGACTGCAATGGGTTTCCATCAAGAGGGAGCCAAAAAGTTGACTGCAATGAGTTTTATAATCCCTTTTCCAGCAATAGTGACCAAAGTTCCATATGTTGTTTTTACCTTTTGGTTACCAGGATATGGTGTATAAGATGAAAAATGATTTGAGTTTGTCATATGGTTGGTTGCTCCTGAGTCTACTACCCAGATTCCATTACAATTGTTCTTTGTATCACTTAGAGAATGGGTTATAAAATACTTACCTGATTGGGCCATGGAGCACGAACCCACTTCTTATCCATTGTTGTTAGGAAACTGCAGAGTTTTCGGTATCTTCTCAGTTACTTAGCTCTTGGGTTGTAGCAGTTGCGTCTTTCCCCTCTGCATGAACAATATTGGCATGATGGTTCCAAGGTTGAAATTGCATCTGGAAATTATTTCTGGGCAGCTTTCCTTGCAGCTTCCAACGAATGTCCTTTGTATGTCACGGTTTCTTGCAGTAGTTGCAGAACAAACCATCTATGTTATGTGCTAATTTTTGAATGGTCTGGAGGTATCAGTCAAGTTTGTGCTTGGTCGTGAGTTTTGTAGGGCAGCAGTAGGCACCGAGACAATTAAGGCCGAGCTTTCACTTGGTGGAGTTTCGAGCATGATGCCTCTCCTTTGTTCTTCACATCGGACAGTGGAGACATATTCACTTAGGATTGGCAAGGAATCATTTCCAAGTATTTGAACACGAACTTGGTCATATTTAACGTTCTAGCTAGCCAAGAACTCATAAATCCTTTCTCTTTCAATGAATTTCAGCATCGTTGCAACGTCTTCAATGCACTTCATCTTAAAGTTTGGTAGTAATTGAGTTCAAGCCACAAATTTTTCATCTTGTCATAATAATCAATGATTGAGAGAGTACCTTTCTTGGTTGAGTGAATTTTGGTCTTAATTTCATAGAATAAGGCTGCATCACGCACCTTTGAATAGGTCTGCTTCACAGTATCCCAAATGTCTTTTGACGTGGGCGAAAGCATAAGGTTGCCACTGATCTCGGGCTGGATCGAGTTCCAAGGCCATGTCATGATTGATGAGTCTTCTACATCCCAAGCCTCAAACTTTGGATCATCCTCCTTTGGTATAGGACTAGTCAAGTGGCTCAATTTGCCCTTTCCTTTCAGGAAGGTTCTAACTATTTGGGACCACATTAGTTATTTTCGGTCATTGAGTTTAAATGTGGGTTGTAGAGTTTGGTATTCACCTGTTGTGGCTATGAAATTTGGGTTGAATCAGATTCTCTACTAGAGTTTAGGTTGGCATTTGTGGTATTCTTACCGGTCTCAGAGATTTCTGACATTTTCCGGAGTGATTAAGGCCAAGATGGCAGTAAAGTTTTTTTTTTCTCTCCTCAGCAGAAAGTCATGTATCTCTATGATACCATGAACAAAAACGTTCTGGTTAATTTCATTTAGAAATGCTTACAACTATTTATAGAATATAGGGAATATTGAGCTATTTTAGTCTACAACCTAAACTGAGAAACTTTAAAAGATTCAGAATTGATTTCTATAATTACAGCCAATTATCCTATCAATCACAACTTGCATTGACTCGGTAAATCAGGGAATGATTTCCCTAAGAATCTGATCATTGACTAGGTAAATCAAGGAATCAACGAATACGACAGATTCGTCAACAACAAAATATTGTATTGGGTAGCCTTATGGCTTCCTCAAGCTAAAGGTTTTGTTGGTTTTTGTTAGGATCCTAGTTGAGTCCCACATTGCTAAAGTATGGGCTTAACATGTGGGTTTATAACCATTTGGGCACCCTCTCCCTACAAGCTAGCTTTTGGGGATGAGTTCTACCCAAGGATTATAACAATTGGTATTAGAGCATGCCTCTCCTCAGGCCCACGTTTCGGAAAGGGCGACCTGGGGAGGGGCGACCTGGAAAGGCCAGAGTAGGCCATCAAGAGTGGGCCATCCAGAGTGGGCCGCCGTGGACGTCGGTGTCGGAAGCGTGGTGGTATGTTAGGATCCTGGTTGAGTCCCACATTGCTAAAGTATGGGCTTAGCATGTGGGTTTATAACCATATGGGCACCCTCTCCCTACAAGCTAGCTTTTGGGGATGAGTTCTACCCAAGGGTTATAACAGTTTTTCTGTCACTGATCTATTAAGGGGTTGGGACATGGTTATTCAGTAATTTGGGGCTGTTAGTTTTGTTTATTCTTCACTGGTTTAGACTTTTTTTTTAATGTAATTTTGTTTATGCTTGGCGGACTCCTTGTCCCCTGTTTCACTCCTCTTATAAAGTTTTCGTTTCTCATAAAAAAAATGATGTGTGAATAATAAAACTAATAGTATTAGCACTTTACTACTTAGTTGATAGAGCTTTATAATGTTAGATAGTTGATAGAGCTTTATAATGTTAGAGTTGGCTTCATGGTGGGCCACATGAGTGTGTAGAACCGAAGCCAATTTTTCAGCTCCTATTATGGTAGTACTTGTGGGTGTTACTGAATATGGGTTATTTTTCTTTCATTTTTTGAAGTCAGTCTTTCAACCTTCTTCTCTGTTGGTGTGGCATTCAAGTTTGACATCATTTTCATTCTTTCTAAAGGTTTTCAAGAACCATGGCGTCTCAGCTGGGGCATCAATGAGTCACTCTCACAGCCAGATGCTGGCTCTTCCAATTGTCCCCCCCACTGTTTCTGCACGACTTGATAGTATGAAAGAATATTTTGATCAAACACAAAAATGTAGTGTTTGTGAAGTCCAAGGGGAGGATCACTTGATTGACGCTTCAACCCACTTTATTTCGGTTGTTCCTTTTGCTGCATCATTTCCCTTTGAGATATGGATTATTCCTCGTGATCACTCTCCTCATTTTCATGAAATAAATGATGAGAAGGTAAGCAAAACACCCATATTCCTTATCCCATATCTTGATCATCGTATTTTAATTGACTTGTTAACAAAATTAGATGATACTTTTTCCTTGTGCTTTATTCTTTTTCAAGTTAGATAATAAGCGTGTGATTTCAAACATTTCATTTGGAATAACCCAGACTTGATTATTTAGTTGGAGACCCACATCTTGATTGTCGTATTTTAATTGACTTGTTAACAATCTGACATGACAGTTTTTTCCTTGTGCTTTTATCCTTTTTCAAGTAAGATGATAAATGTGTGATTTCAAACATTTCATTTGGAATAACCTAAACACCGATTCTGAAAAATTCGACAATAAGGAATTTAGTCAGGTTTTTCCTTCTACTCGCAGGCTAGATTTTGAACTTGGAATTTGCCATGGTAAAAGAACAAAAAAAAAAAAAAAAAAAACAGAGAGAGGGGGACCGGGAAATGTTTTTCCTAGTTTGGTTTACAGATTTGAAAACTACTTTGTAATTTGTAGTTGTAAGAGTTTCTAGTTGTGGGCAACAATTTATCTGTGATTGGTGCCCCATGGCCATTGATACGTGGGGAATTGTTAAAGAGTTGTGCCAAAACTTTGTGCTTGGAACATCTCGTGTGAACAGGAATGAGTGATCTCGTGTGAACAGGAATGAGTGAACACAATGCTTTCATCTGTTAAGATATTAGTCTCATGAAAGATGTTTTTAATTTTTATGTGAAGCTTGACCCCTACAGGAAAAGAATTGGCTTTTTTCACTTGGAAGATTTAGCAAATGGCCTTAAGGAGGTTGAAAAAAATAATTAATTCCTTTATGAAAGAGAAACAAGATTACGAAAACCTGACATGGATCAAATGTTAAATGTTCATTGGACGGGTGTACCACATAAGTATAAGGTTGTGGTATGTCCGGCCTACTGACTAATTTCCCAAATTTTATTAGATGTTCATTAGTGAGTTTGTGTTGGATCTGTTCATAACCATGAATTTTTCAACACTATCGACAACCTTATTGTCTTGTCGATATTAGCATGACACCTACTATGATCCATCAAATATTATCTCTTGAAAAACCTACTGATGTAGGATTGATATTAGAAAGAATAGAGATAGAAGAATAAACTCAAATAGAGAAGAAAAGCCACTAGAGAGAGGAATAGAGGGAATCTAGTGAGAGACACAAGAACTCAAGAGATATAAAGCATTGATTTCAATTTATACATGGTCTATTGTCTGAACTGAAATTACAATCCTACTAGTTTTATAGGGAAACCAAATAACAAAATAGGAAACTAAGGGTGTGTTTGTTTCACACTTGAAGTTAAGAATTTTAGTTGTGTATACGAGAGAAAAACACTGCAACAAAAATGTTAAATTTGAATTTTTGTGAAAGAAAACACTGCAATAATAGAACTTGAGTTGTGAAAATAACAAGGCCTACATCAACATGAAATATGAAAACTATAGTAATGAGAAACTAACTGTATTTCATACGTAGTATAAATTCCTAATTAAGCAAAATAGTAAACTAGACCAAAATAAATAAGGAATGCTGATAATGAGAAACTACCCTAATAGAACAAATCCCTGAAAAAATAGAAACTAAATATTAAAATAATTAAATACACTCCCTATCATTCTCATGGGGGTGAGAAACTCGACGCCGATGAGCTTAAACTCTAGCGAATTATGATGCACAATCTAAAACGTGGAAAATTCTTCAACTGCGACACTACAATTCTGAAATTAGCCATAGAAGCTTGATACTTGATTGTAGAAATATCCATAATGTAGAGGAATCATGAAAATACTTGAAACTTCTGATCAACATGGTAATTAAACACCAGTTGAAGATTTGGATTGACTCTTATAGGAAGAAAGTCGATAGCAAAAGGGACTTAAAAGTCATCAAAAAGGTTTCCATGATGCATCTCTTGATTATGAACAGTTTTCTGGACTCGCAATGGTCCACGTGGACGAGGTAGTAAACTTGTTTGTGTGTTCTTTTGGTTGTCAAGAGGCGAAGCTGGTGGTTGAACAAGTTGTGAAATGATAGTGGATTCTTCACTAGGTGCCCGCTTTCTTGGAATTCTTCAGGATTTACGAAAGTCCTCAGAATGCTTGTTCACAACGTCAATGAGTTGAGAAAGTCTTTAATCAATCCTGTTAACTTGAAATGTCAAGTGCCTAACTTGGGAGGCCAATTGGTTATGGCTTTCTGAAGCTTCGTTCTTTTTTTATATATAGAAATTAAACAGGGGCTAAGGAAACGATTTTCTCTGATACCAACCAATGTAGGATCAATACAAGAATGAGAATAAAGGATTCTTCAAGATAGAGAAGAAAAGCCACTAGAGAGGGTTTTCTCACTGGTGTCTCCTGAATTTTAGGGTCATTCTCACTTTACTCCCTAATCTTTAAAAACTCACTTTGCTCCCTGCATTTTGAATTTATCCCATTTAAGCCCATTTGTAGGAATTTCTTTTAAAATCAGACGGAAAAAGAGGGGGTTAAGTGATTATGTGGTTTTTATATGTTTCTTTTTAACAGAAATGCAAACAGAAATGCCATGTGATTGCGTTATTCTTTTTTTCTACATGGTTTTAATAGAAATTACAACATAAGGGATTAAGTGGGAACAATGCAAAGTTTTGGGTGCAAAGTGAGAGTTTTTAAAGTTCAGGAGCAAACTGGGAATGAAAGTTCAGAACCAGGATAATAATTTAAAGAGAAAAATAGAGGGAATCTAAAGAAAGAAACAAGAACTCAAGAGAGATAAATCACGGACCAAAACAAAATAAGGAATGTTGACAATGAGAAACTACCCTAATAAAATTAATCCCTAATAAAATGGAACCAAATATTAAAATAATTAATATGTGATCCCCATCACCTACCTATACTTTTCCAGATTTATATGAGCACCATAGAGATTGTGCGCGCGTCATAGAGTACACCTTATTTTCACACTTTTGTCCCATTTAGAAATAAATGTTATAAACTTTTTATTGATGAAGAGAGTGAGATTAATTTTGTGTCTGAAAATTTTGTCGATTAAATGAATCTTTAAACTGAAGCCACCCTAGACTGTTCTGGGTAAACTTAATAGGTAAAAGATTTTTTGAAATCACCAAAAGATGTCTGGTTCTAATTCAATTGGTCCTCTTATTCTCTCCTCTCCCTCAATTCTTCCCTTATTCTCTCTCTCTATTTCTTTAATCATCTTGATCAAACATCTGGTTGTCTGACATGTTTCTCCTTTTTTTCTTTTCTTTTTCTTTTCTTTTTGTTGCCAATTAAGGCAAACTCAATTGGTGTTTAGTAGGTGTGAGCTGTTTTCAACGTATCGAGTCATTTGTTAAAATCCAATGAGTAGGGTTTTTTCTCTTTTTTTTTTCTTTTTTTAAATGAGTTTTGTTTCTTGAAAAAATGATAAGTTTACATGCGTGCAGAATTTTCACTTTTCTAGTTATGTTTTAATAATTCAGTTTCTCATAACATTGCTCAATGGCGGACTTTGCAGGCAGCTGACCTTGGCGGGCTGCTGAAACTCATGCTTAAGAAACTGGCTTTGCAGTTGGACAATCCGCCATTCAATTTCATGATTCAAACATCCCCACTTGACATTACTGCATCAGAACTATCATTTTCTCACTGGTTTTTACAGATAGTGCCCCAACTAACCGGCGTCGGAGGGTTCGAAATTGGAACTGGTTGTTACATAAATCCTGTCTTCCCAGAGGATGCTGCAAAAGTTTTAAGGGAAGTCAGTGTCTCAAAATAGAAATAGAATAATCATAATTACATATTCGACGTTCTAACAAATAATCATTCTTGTGAGTGATGAGAATCCATTGCCGATGTTCTTCCGGTAGGTTTTGTTCTGTGTTCAGCAATGTAGATGAAATAAAAAAAGGCCGAAAAGGACTGGGATTTGGAAACATTTAACACGGAGTAAGATGCCGCCGAGTTTGGAGCTATTAACATCTTACTTTCTTACGGCCCAATATGAGGCTGTTTTATGGTCAAATAAAAGGAGGAAAGAGATTAATATTGAGTCTGAATTTTTATATATTATTTTTTATTAATATTCTTTTTAGTCAGAATTATATTAGTCGGTCTTATTTTTTTATTAATATCTTTTTTAGTTAAAGAATTATATTAGTTAAAACGATATTAATAAAGAGTAAGGAATAAAAATGAAGATCTATACACTTTAGGGTAAGTTTAACAATTTTCTCTATAATAAATGATATTACACGCAATTTAGTTGTTGCTTGTTAACTTCTCTCTCTAGATAACATTTATGCTAGGAATTATTATTTTTAATATAAAGTATGAACTGTTATTTAATTGTTGTATCAATTTTTCGACGATGATTTGTGAGGGTCCACAGTAAGAATTTATAATGCGCAATATATATTTACTCCCACTCACATATTAAATCGGTAGAAAATGATCCAATAGTTAAAAGCAACAGTTGTTATCTTGAAAAATAATAATTCCTACCACAAAAATTCCTTAAAAACACAATGATTTATTACAACAATCTCCCCTAAATTATGACTCTTTAGCACCTTATCTCTAACCTTTCAAATGTAAAATTTGTGCCCCTAAAAAGTGAAACAAACAATAATGTCTTTTCGTTAGAATGTTGGTCAGAAATCGAAATCTAATGGAGCTATAACGGAATGATTTTGCTGTTTATTTTTCCCATTTTTCTGCATAAATTGCTGGAGTAAACATGGTAACAAACATTAATCAACGGCAAACTAGAAAGTTCATAGCTAAATGCAAAATGTGTGGTTCCTTCTTTGACTCTTGAGCTCCCTTAGATCTATTTTGGAACAATAGCTTATAGGCAAGATCAAATCAAGATCATAGAACTAAACCATTTTCTTTTTTGAACCAAAACTAGAAAAAAGGGAAAAAAATCATGACTTGATCACCTTATAGGGGTTCCTTAATAACTCTAGGTCTCCAAGCTTGATAAACTTTTTGTTCTAAGGAGATTAAGAAAAGAGAGAGAAATGGGAGTTTAGTTATTTACATTTTTTGGTTCCTCTTATAACCAGTGAATCAATGTAACTCCCCCTTAATATAGCTTTAAAGTTTCTTCCTCATATTAAGTGTTGTTACTATTTACCATTTACTTATATATGAATAAAAGTGAAAATGTGATCAAATTTGAACCTTTGGTATTCTTTTCATAAAGAGAACACAGTTTGTTTTATGAACTCAAACCGGTTGATTTATTGATTACAATATAATATATCTCTAAATAGACCAGCTGCATGTTATTTTCAGCCTCCAAGGCGTACAAAGTCAAGTAGTAGTAAAAGGTCTCAAAATAGGTCAACATCGTCTATATACACAAGTCCACAAGTTTAGAGGATGAAGCTAGCCAACCAACTAGCATCTTGTTACTAATATGGAGAAGTGTCCTCATCTGCATCACTAGAACTAAGTAAGCCTAGGCCCATTAAGTAGAATCGATGCATAATTTGAGTGAACTTATCATGTATGAGCTTATAATTCACGTGTGTCTTGTGAAAACTGTCATTACACCCCTTTCTTATAAAACATAACGTACACATGATTTTTCGTGGTATTTCCTTGGAACGGGTAGGTTTCGTTTCATCAATTCGTTTGGATTGTAACGCCATCATGTGGCATCTCACACTACAAGTCTCCATCGAGATAAAAATAAGGTCTGGAAGTCTCCATGGAAACATAATACAATAAGAAATACATGTGGCCCTTGTCTTAGAAACTCTTATTAATTCAAGATTTGGCCTAAACAAGTCTCTCTCGAGACCCTAGAGTAGAGCAGCCTCCTCTGAGACTAACTCTATATCTTATTACCACCCCTATAGGTCACCCTCAAAACTTCATCAAACTCTTTGTTGGGGTCTGGTCGATTCAGGGAGTACTACGTGGTAAGGGTGTACAGTGGGTGTACCCGATTTGATGGTGAAACTCCTACGCAAGTGCGATGCTTGGCGCTTCCAGGTGTAGACACGATGACAGGACCTCCAACGAAGATGGTGGGGTCAGCTAGGCCTGAATCAGGTCAAAGAGAAGACTCTAGAGCCCTTTCCGTTGCCGAAATAATGAAAATAACCCTATGAAAAGGTACTAAAGATAAAAGGATAGAGAGACTTTATCTGGCTGGGTATTCAGATGGGTCTGTTCGGATATGGGATGCTACTTTGCCAGTCTTAAGTTGTCTTTTGGAAGGCCAGGTAAGTGTCTTAATAAAGGTTTTATTATTACTTTGTTCTCATTAGCAGGGGGCCTATTCTTGATAGTAAATTATGCTATATGACTAAAAGGTGCAAGGTATTAAAGTGGCCGGTTCAAGTGCTCCTGTTTCAGAATTGGATTTTTGCTATCTCACTTTTAGTTTGGCTTTAGGCAATGAATGTGGACTGGTGAGTCTAGCATTTCTTTATTTGAGTCTTGTGGTCAATTTTCTGTATTCTTAATAAACTTTTATGCCTTTTTGATATATTATTATATGTATTATGTGTATGGATTATATAAAAAGAGAGAATCACCTTTTTTTATTCCTTTTTCTTTTCTTTCCTTATAATTCTATTGGCTTGTATAGGTTTGTATTTATGATCTCAAAGGCCGCTCAAACGGAACAAACTTCCACTTCGTCACAGAAACTAAGCATGAAGGTAAACCGTAAATGACAAGCATCACGATGATTGCACCTCGTTGGTTTTTGCCTGTTTCTTTTGGGCCAACAACAACAAGAAGAGAGCCACGTGAACCGAAGTCGGTGGGAGTAATGAAGTAGTTGATGGAGAAGTGACTCGTGTTGGATAAGGCATTTTTAGAGAAAAGAAGTGACTCATAGAGTGGATAAGGCTATGATAAGGTAAACGAGACTGCTCTATGAGCCCGCATAGGTAGCTCCGTCTAAGAAGTATTAAGAAAGCCCCAAGAAGGGTGAGTTTGAGCGAGTCAAAATGACTGATGGTGAGAGTGAAGTCTTGATGACTTTCGAGCCTCAAAATATGCTCCGTGAGACGGAAGTATTCGAACCTGCTGACAAAGGCTCAAGAACTTCCTAGTGCTCCAAGGAGGGAGCAAATGAAGATCTGATAGAGCTTATTAAGTAGTGTCGCGGCTTGGAGCAGATCAAGACCAGCATAACCTCAAGAACAACTCAAAGAAAATAGAGAAATTCTAGAAATATTTTGGCAGAGTGGGCGTAAGCTATGTATGCTAGATTCATCCCCCTGAATGTGAAGGGAAAAGGGTATTTACAGTGCTAGAACTTCGGGTCGGCGGGCTGCCCGAAGCCCAAATTTTTTCGGGCTCGGGCGGGCAAGCCCATTTCCCGCCCGCCCAAGCAAGATTTTCGGGTTCGGGATCGGGCAGCCCAAATTTGACATGTCCACCCTTGCCCGCCGCCGTCTAACCACCGTATACCGCCATCCGCCGGGATTTTTTTAAATTTTTCCGACCATTCCCGAACTGCCCGACCCGAAAAATGCCCGAAAATTCGGTGTGCCCGAAACACTCAAACGGCTGTTTTTTTTAATTTTGCCCGAATTTTTCCCGCCTACCCGAGATGGCCGAACTGCCCGAATACCTGAAAACGGCTAGTTTTTTGAATTTTTACCCGAAAATCCGACCTGCCCGAGTAGCCCGAATACTCAAAAACGGCTAGTTTTTTTAATTTTGCCCGAAAACCCCACTTGCCCGAGGTTGCCCGACTGCCTGAATTTCAAAAAATAGCCATTTATCCCGTTTTTTTTTTTAAATCATTTTTTAACTCCAAAATTTCCCTATAAATACTCCCCATCCCCCACACATTTTTCTCACTCAAACTCTTTCAATCCCTCTCAATCTCTCTCAATTTCTCTCAATCTCTCTCACAATTTTTCTAAAGCTCTCTCTCTCTCAAATTCATCTTATTTTTTTATAATGGATCCTTTTGGTTATTGTGGTATTCCCGTTGATGCCCAACACAATGTAGAAGAAGGACAATTTCCCACTAATGAGTTTGTTACGCAGCAATCTACTAAACCAAGCAATGGTGGACGTATTGGAGGGCGTGGTCGCAATAGTGGGCGTGGAGAAGCGGCGGCGAGTGCGACTGCGTCTGCGTCGGCAAGTGTTGCAACCTCCAGGAGGAAATGCAAGCATACCTCGACAGTTTGGGATCACTTCGACATAATTGACGAGGTGGATAATGAAGGTAACACTAAACATATAGCTCAGTGTAAATATTGTTTATCTAAATTACAATGCGACACTATTCACGGCACCACACACTTGAGACGACACTCCGAAAAGTGTCTTCAAAAGCTTAGCCAATCTAGCGGACCCAAACTCCGCCAAACACAATTATCTTTTGATCGCACAACTGCTGGACTAACCACTTAGAAATACGATCCGCAAGTAGATCGTATGGAAGTTGCGCGAATGATAGCTACTTTAGATCAACCACTTAGTTTTGTAGAGCATCCTAATTGGCAACGATATATTAAGGTTGTACACAATCCTAATGCACAGTTCACTTCAAAAACTACTCTTAGCAAAGATTTATTAAAATTATTTAAAAAAGAAAAAGATGCATTAATAAACCTTTTACACTCGACTAGCGGGTGCGTTGCGTTAACGGCAGATATTTGGTCTGCCATTGCCAATAAAGATTATTTAGCTGTAACCGGACATTACTTTAAAGGATTTGATTTAGATAAGAGAATATTAGGTTTTAAATGTATTCTAGGATCACATAGCGCGGATTTAATATATAACACAATTTTAAATGTAATTGATGAATTTAGATTAAGAGATAAAGTAAT